AAGCGACCGAAAATAGATTCATTGAAGGATTTCCGAGCGGCGGGGCGAGGCGGCGGACAGGCGCTAGAGGGCAGCAGAGAGCCGGGATGCGTCGCTCAGGAGAGCTGCGGCAGAGCCGAACCGTTTCCCTCTCTCGGCGCCGTCGCAACCCCCGGACCTGTAGGATTGCACAGGATCTCTTATCCCGGGAAGATAAACTCCCCTCCGGTCTGCTCGCGTTGGGTGACTCGCTGGGGCGCGAACCAGGGTCGTTTGGGCACGTCAGGCGGGGTAGATCCCTGAGATTTGCGACGCGCACGTTTGCCGGTGGGAGATGGACAACCCCGCGCCCCGAGTGGCCCAATGCGAAATGCTGGATGGACCCTGTGTAGGCTACGAGTAACTGGAGTCAAGAAGACCCCGCCCCCGGGTGGGAGGAGGCGGGGCCATCGACTCTTGGCATCGCCTTCGCCTTGTGCTTCTGGTTTGAACACAGGACAGGGGCCATGTAGAGATCACCAGGAAACTGGTCTCAATTGATCAATCAACCAATCAGTCCATCATGCTATCCATGCAGGGCAACGACCCGGAAACCAATCCTAATGTAAATCGGTTGGCTTGGCTGAGCAGAGGTTTGCATGCACGCTAGGGGACCCATAGCAGCAGTGGGGCTATCGAGGGCCCCGCCCCCTTCCTTAAAGGGCCATCCTTAAAGGCCCCTACTTGAAGGGCCAGCTTGGTGTAGTGGTTAAGTGCGCAGACTCTAATCTGGGAGAACCGGGTTTGATTCCCCACTCCTCCAGTTGCACCTGGCTGGATGACCTTGGGCAAGCTGTAGTTCTGATAAGAGCTGTTCTTGAAAAAGAGTATTTTCTGCCAGAGCTTTCTCAGCCCCACCTACCTCACAGGGTGTCTGTTGTGGGGAGGGGAAGGGAAAGGAGTTTGTAAGCCGCTCTGAGACTCCTTTGGGTAGTGAAGGGTGGGGTAGAAATCCAATCTTTTCTTCTTCTTTTACCTCACAGGGTGTCTGTTGTGGGGAGGGGAAGGGAAAGGAGTTTGTCAGCCGCTCTAAGACTCCTTCGGGTAGTGAAGGGCGGGGTATAAATCCAATCTCTTCTTCTTCTTCTACCTCACAGGGTGTCTGTTGTGGGGAGGGGGAGGGAAAGGAGTTTGTCAGCCGCTCTGAGACTCCTTCGGGTAGTGAAGGGCAGGCTATAAATCCAGTCTCTTCTTCTTCTTCTTCTACCTCACAGGGTGTCTCTTGTGGGGAGGGGAAGGGAAAGGAGTTTGTAAGCCGCTCTGAGACGCCTTTGGGTAGTGAAGGGTGGGGTAGAAATCCAATCTCTTCTTCTTCTTTTACCTCACAGGGTGTCTGTTGTGGTGGGGAGGGGAAGGGAAAGGAGTTTGTAAGCCGCTCTGAGACTCCTTTGGGTAGTGAAGAGCAGTGTTTAAATCCAATCTCCTCTTCTTCCTTTGTAATGCATTTTCTCCGTTATGGCATATCCTACTTTGTTTATTTATTTATATTGCTCCCCACCTTTCTCCCCAGTGGGAGACCCAAAGTGGATTCCATCCTTCTGTTCCCCTCTGTTTTATCCTCATGACAACCCTGGGAGGTAGGTCAGGTTGAGGGAGTGGGTGACTGGCTCCAGGCCACCCAGCGAGCTTCCAAGGCACGAGTGGAGATTCGAACCTGGGTCTTCCAGTTACTAGCCTGACACCCTTCCCCACTACACCACACTGGTTAGGCAGGTTTGTCATCTGCATTGTTTTCCAGATCTGCATTTCTAGACGCCTGCTCCTTGGGAGGAAAGCAATGGCATACCTAGATGGCATAATAAAAAGTAGAGACATCACCCTGCCAGCAAAAGTCTGTATGGTCAAAGAGATGGTATTCCCAGTTGTAATGTATGGCTGCTAGAGTTGGACTATAAGGAAGGCCAAGTGCTGAAGAATAGATGCTTTTGAATTATGGTGCTGGAGAAGACTCTCGAGAGTCCCTTGGACTGCAAGGAGATCAGATCAGTGAATCCTAAAGGAAATCAACCCCGAGTGTTCCCTGGAAGGCCAGATACTGAAGCTGAAGCTCAAATACTTTGGCCACCAAACGAGAAGGGAGCCCTCACTGGAGAAGACCCTGATGCCGGGAAAGATGGAAGGTAAAAGAAGAAGGGGGCGGCAAAGGATGAGATGGTTAGACAGCGTTATCGATGTAACGAACATGAAGTTGAGCAAACTCCGGAGGACGGCGGAAGACAGGAGGGCCTGGCGTGATGTGGTCCATGGGGTCGTGAAGCGTCAGACTTGACTGTGCGACTGAACAACATTTCTAGTCCTCTCGCATGGCTTATTGGATATCTGACACGGAATGATGGCACTTTGAAACAACTTTGTCAAAACAGCTTCCGTCCTTCTCCACCTCCACGTTTCTCCTCACAACAACCCTGCGAGGAAGGCTTGGCTGAGAGAGAGAGTGTGACTGACCCAAGGTCACCCAGCAAGCTTCCAGGGCAGAGCAGGCATTCAAACCCGAGTCTCCCGGATCCTAGTCTAACCACCGCCCCAAGCTGGCTCATGGGTTTCTCCAGCATCAGCCGAACACCGTGCTGAGTCCCGAATTCGAAAGCAGTTTTGAGCACAGGGGAGTCAGGCCTTCTTGGGGAAAACTGCCCGGCCTGCGTCAATTTGCCGCAGGGCTTGTAAACCCTTTCAAAGTAGATTAATGATTTGTGTATCGTTTCTCCAAAAGGAGGACAAACGCTGTGGAATTCTTGAGCCCGTTCCAGTCACTTTAAGCCCCAACAAAGAAATCCGGCGACTCGGAACGTCGAGGTTCTTTTGTCAACATGCCTCGCCGATATTAAAAGCACATTTGATACTGTTTTGCAGCCGGCTTCTACCTCCCTCCCCCGCCCCCGTATCGGGCATTTGCTTTGCAGCGGTTCTGGCCTCGCTACAAGCGTGTGACTCGAATGGCACTGCGCCGGGCTGGAGCTCATGCCTTGCATGCCAACGGGCCCAAGTTCAGTCCCTGGCATCTCCAGCTGCAAAGTTCTCTGCTAGCGGGGCTAGAAAGGACACCTCAGCGGAGCCGCAGATGCTGGGCTATGAAAGCTCAAAGGCAGCTCCGTGTGTTTGTACGGAAAGGGTGGCGAGACGCTTCGAATGTTTCTGCAAACCTGGCGGACAATCCTGAGTAACTCAATAGACTGCAGCCTCCTTTACGCTAAGAACTGCATTCGACTGAAAATTACTTTACGTGATGTGGAGCATCCGCTTGGCATGCAGAAGGTCCCAGGTTCAGTTCCCCGCATCTCCAATTTAAAAGGACCGGGCAGTAGGTGATAGGGAAGACCTCCGCCTGAGACCCTGGAGAGCCACTGCCAGTCTGAGTAGACAATACCGAC